TGTGTGTGTGTGTGTGTGTGTGTGTGTGTGTGTGTGTGTGTGTGTGTTAAACAGCCTCTCGAGCCCCTTTGTAACCACTGGAGTCTGCAAGAGTATACTTTTTAAGAGCTCCCCTCGGTAAAGCAGCCCATAAATCTTCAGTCAGTTGTGCCGCTGTAACTTCAAGTGGTCGAAATGTGCTCTTTTTCCACACTTACCTCTTACTCACCTTTGGAGCCCCTCCATCTGTCTGCCTGAGAGCGCTGAGACAAGAAACCTCTGTTCCCCTCCCTCTACCAATTTATTACGAGCGGGTGGGGTACCCACGACTTAATTCCAACTCCTTGAGACTAGCCCGTCTGAAGAAAGAGAGAGGGAGAGAGAAAGTAGGGCAGAAACAGACAGATGGGACAAAGTCAGGGAGTGAGGAAGTGGAAAAGAGAGAAGGTGGGTGAGGAGGAGAGAGGGAAAAGTGGGAACTCAGAAGTGTGAAACATGCCTATGAAGTGTTGCCTTCCCTTTTTTATGGGCTTCCATGTGCCATATGGAGCCGCTGTGCCGTTAAAAGAGCATTCAGCTGCCAAGGCGCCGCCAATCTAGCATCCGCCCCGCTGAACCCCAGAGGGCCCTCTTCTGTACCAACACACAGCACATGTGTCCGCTAGCTCGGGGCTCCGTGGAAATAAGGGAGGCAGAGGAGCATGGGAGACGTGCACAAAAAAAAAGAGAGAGACCACAGGGGTGTTACAGAGAGTAGACCACAAAGCAGAGGTATCATCTTCGATGCTCGGAAGAGTAAGCCAGTGGAGACAAAAGGTCAGATTCCTGGAAGAAGCTTTACTAGAATCTGCTCGGTAATGGCCAAAAGAGCTGCGTGATAGGAGGTCAGAGCCACAAAACGAGAACGGCATGGTTATTTAGTTTGTTGCTCAAGACGAAGGGGGAATGAGGGAGTGAGGAAGCGGCGTAATTGCAAACACACCGGAGTCTGTTCCCAATTAGGGAAATGCCGGGAAACAAAAAAGTGAGATGGAAGATAGGAGGACAGAGACAGTCACAGATAAATATTCAGAGACAGACCGACGGTGAGGAATGAGGCAGACGCGGGGTCTGTGTATCGTTTGTTATGAAATGTTTCTAAGTTCATAAGCCCCTGCAACATCGTGCATATGGAGACTGTGACCAAAAGTATCGTGCTTAGCAACCGACTCCAGCAGCAGCTTAGAAAACATTTTCATTTGAGCGAGGGAAGCCGCAGCCACCATGGAGGCAGCACAGAACAACACCCAGGCCCAAATTGAGCCTTCCAGCCAGACCTCAAGGAGTCGGTGCCCCCCCCCTCCCCCATTTACAACCCCCTTCCTCCCACTACGACGTCCTCCCCTGGAGACATATGAACAGTGTGTCTCTTAGCTCTGTGTGCTGGTGGTCTCTGCTAGGACACTTCTGCTCTGCTCTGCTTCAGATCTCTCCTCCACTACTTTAATGACGAGCTGACTTGTGACTTCTTCTTTTCTGTTGGTCTCTCTATACCTCTGAATGTGTATGCGATGTATGACTTGACATGTGGCTGACATTTAACCCGGTACAACAATGCTCAATCATATCAAAAAATAGAGAATTGTCGTCCTCCCAGTTTTTAGACTACTCTGCAAATCAGAATGCAACCTCACCAAATTCCTTCTTTCTTGCCAGGCAAACCTGCCCCTTCTGCAGAGAGAGCTGCTCCACTGTGCACGGGCAGCCAAGCAGACCCCAGCCCAGTACTTGTCCCAGCACGAGCATCTCCTGCTGAGCACCACCATGGCCTCCTCTCCAGACTCCTCAGAGCTGCTGATGGAGCCTCCAGAGGCCGTCACCAAGAGACACAGCCCCAACAGGTGAGCTGAAAGTACACGTTAGTGGACGTGTACATACACAGCCTTCATACTTTATTGTAATTAAATTTAATTTCCCTCTTTCCTCTCTCTCCTTCAGAGCTAAAGAGAACGGTTTCCACGACCGCGAGCGTCCACCCCCAGCCATGGAGCCCGCCGCTAAACGAATTTGCACCATCAGCCCTGCTCCCCGACACAGCCCCGCCCACCCGCTGCCCCTCAGCGCCCAGCTTCACCCGACCCCTCCGCCCTTGCAGCACTACGCCCTGGATGACATCGCAGCGCCGCACATCCTACACCGCGAGCACAGCCAACGCATGTTGGAGATCCGCGAGCTCAAAGACAGGCCCAGACTTCCTGGTACGTGATGCTCTTTAGCTCATTTTTATGGTTCAGGTTTCCAAGAGTCATTTTGCATCTCGAGATTTAAAGTCAATGACTACTGACATTTAATTTATTCCACAAGAGATGTTCAGTCCCAGTCATGGCTGCTCGTACTGGAGAAGTTCAGTTCATTGAACAAACGGCATCAGACATTACTTCCTCTAATTTCAGTGAATGATTAAAGGCTACCGTACATCATGCAAACTTCCTGCTAAATACTTAAATACCAAGAACTTTTACTTCCTTCTTGTTCTTCACAGCAGAGTGAATGCAAGTAGCTGATACATATAAAATGAACACATTTTGCATGAAAGCAGATAAACGCACATAAAATCTGCCGCAGATAACGGGTGGTCTGCGTGTCTATGTAGCCGCCCCGTATACATCTTTGGAGTCCACGTGTGTATAAACAGAGCCATACTGTGCAGGCAGGGAGGGTCGGATCTACTCTGGTGTATATCTACACTCCATTTGGGGCTTGTCAGCATGCAATGGAAACGGCAGTAGCACGCGCGCACGCACAGAAACATACCTGGTTATATTCATGGTAGAGGTGCTGTGTTTACGAGGCCTTAGTCCCTTGTCTGACTCCCGCCCGCCTGCCGCCACTTAACTCAAAGGCGCACACACGCATAAACACATCAGTCTGCACACTCGTGGCTTTGAACTGATATGAGAGAGAGAGAGAGAGAGAGAGAGAGAGAGAGAGAGAGAGAGAGAGACTCTCTGCACATGAGGGAATAGTTGTCCTTCTCAGCAGGCCTAGTGTGCATGTGGCCTCTCGCTGGCTGTTTTGTTACTCAATTTGAAGCGATTGTGGTTTGCTATGTCTTTGTAGTCAGTTTGTCTCTTTACATGGAGATGTATCATGAAGTTTCTGGGCTCTGCATGAACACAAGCTTTGTGTATGCAAACTATTATTGCTGTTAAATGCACAGTTAGATATTGTTTAATTCAAAGTGTTGTGTAACAACTGAATTGGAATCAGATAGTTCACTAAATGTGTGTGTGTGTTCATGGTTGTAATGGTCCACAGTGAGTGTCAGACCGGCTGGTTGTGTTTAGAAGTGGAGCCACTCCACTCAGCCTGAGTGTCTCCCTACTGGAATGCTGTGAGCTCCAGTGTGTGTGTGTGTGTGTGTGTGTGTGGTTGACAGCTGACTTCCAGATGTGTGCAGGCTCTGGGTGCTGGAAGTCTGTTTTGCATCACAGGCTTCTCCTCTTCTCTTTCACCCCACCTCTGTGACTCACATAACCCCCCCTCCCCCCGGTACATCTCACATCTTTTCTTTTTTCTTTTTTTGCTCCCCATTTATTTGCCGTCACTCTGCATGTAAGAAGCTGCTGCCTGTGAGTCTTGTCTCTGCTGCTATGTGTGGAAAATATTTTATCACAATGTATGATCATCACGAGATCTTGTGGTGAAATAATTTAGCTACTGTAGCTCAAATTTCAAGGTCCGGTCTAGTGTTTTTTTTTTTTGTTGTTTTTTTTGTCATCTTAAAAAAAAAGATTCTCCACACACACACCTTTCCCTCACTTACTGTCACTTGTAGCTTCTCTTACAGTTAAAAAGAATGTTAATCACAGTGGTCTGTCTTGTGTGTGCTTTAATCAGGCACTAACGGGGGCTACCGAGAGGAGCCGGTGGACCACAGACTGACAGACAGAGAGTGGGCTGATGAATGGAGGCATCTGGACCATGTAAGTCTGCAGACGGGCACCACTGCTGCTAATAGCTTGTGATAGACAAAGAATGTAAAATGTAATTTGTCTTCTGGGGTCCTACGCTAAGGAGTTTTTAAAAATTCTCACAGCACATCTGGATGTTATACCTTGAAATGGGGAATTAGTGTCTTGCTAACAGATGGAACAATCACCCCTAAACATACATAAGATTTAGATAAAATGATCTATAAATAGCTAAAGCAAATGATCAATTTTTGCGCGTCCTTCTTCACCCTCTAGGTGTTGAACTGCATCGTTGACATGGTGGAAAAGACACGGAGGTCAGTGAGTGTGCTCAGACGATGCCAGGAGTCGGATCGCGAGGAGCTCAACTACTGGAGACGGCGTTCGAGCGAGCAGGAGGACCCACGCAAAGGAGGCTCGGGCTCCGCTCCCTTCTCGAAGACACACAGCCCCCACTCTGCAGAGTCGGGTGGGTACCGCTATTTTCAATTCAATTACGTCAGTGTGCCGCAGAACCCAGTCATTTCTGTGATTGGAGCCTCTTGTTTTCCTACAAGAGACGATTGCCTCATGAACAATCGGATGAAGCCAGGCCAATGGAAATTTTTGGGAAAGTTTGTTGTTGCGCTTAAAGGACCGGTTCACCCAAATTACAAACACAAACATTGTGCCAGATAGCATTATCTACCAATTTCTGCTACAGAGCAGCAGAGCAGAGAATTTGTTATGAGTGCCCCATGTTATGAGTTTAGGATGTTCAGTTGGCTGAACTGATCCTTTGTTAATTTGGAATAAGCATCATAGATGAGCATCAGTCTCAGATCCTGTAGGAACAGATATGTCTTGGCAGGAAAGTGTAACTATATACGGAGGTTATACATACAAGTCAGTAACAAAACCTGAATTTAAATGCCAATTGTATTCTTAATAATTAGATCTAATGATTTGAACACCCTGAGCTGTACTTACTTTACGTGATGGTCAAGTCTGTTTTTTAAATATGGCCCAATATTAGATACTGAAAGGTCTGAACACCAACCAGGACAGCCTCTCTTCCATTTCTGCCGTCTAGTGGTCAATTATAGAATTGCAGCTAAGTCACGGCGTTATTGGGTCCCTCCACAGTTAGTCCCCCAGTCTGCTGTGTACTGGCACAGTTCTTTCTGAGTGCCAGCCTTGCCTCCCCCCCTGCTGGTCCATCGTCACAGACAGGTGCCAGGACTGGCCTCGGCCATATCGGCCACAGAAGGGCCGTCCTGCCGTCCTGCAGGCTCAGAGACGCAGAGCTGGCTGACTCGCCTGAGCGCCATCTGGGCCCCCAGCCGGGAAGCCCGCCCGCCTGCCCGCCTGCCTGCCTGGGCTCGAGCTGAGGAAGACTGTAGTGGGGGGTGGAAATGGCGACAGGGAGGGTGAATGCAGGCGTGGTTGAAGAGAGTGGATGTAAATGAAGGAAAAGAGAGAAGGCGATGGTGAGACGGAGGATGTAGAATATGGGGAAAGAGGAGATGAGCCAGGTGGCAGTGTTGGAGAGGGAGAGAGGGGGGGAGAGAGAGGGAGAGAGAGAGAGAGAGAGAGAGAGAGAGAGAGAGAGAGAGAGAGAGAGAGAGAGAGAGAGAGAGAGAGAAAAAACACAACACAGACAGAATGTTGACACAGCTTGTTGGTCTGCAATTCCCTCCAAGCCAAACACATTCCCTTCCAAAGCTGTCAGATCTCAGATCAGTCCAAGACTCTGATAAACAACAATTACGTTGGTTGTGTGGCCTAGAAAGATATGCGGACAAATTAAAAAGACCAGATGACAAAGATAGTATCGCTGTCTGCCTCTGTGGCCTTTCTTTGTCAGCGCCCTTTACCTTCATTGAGCCGTCAGTCACAAAGTCGGCCATTATTTCAACAATTAATCATCTTGATATCTTTTATAAGCCTTGGCAGGTGCTAATCCCTTCTGTCTCTGCTTCCCCGCAGATTCCCAGCGCGACTTTGCTCCACGGCCAGGCTCGGCATACGTTACAGATGAGATCTGGAGGAAAGCTGGTGAGAACACAATCAAATTTAATTACTGATGTGTTATTTAAAAAAAGGATTTAATATATGTAGTTGGATACAAAAGGTATTCAAGCGATAATCAAGATCCCAGAGGATGAATGTTTGGAGCACAGATTGAATGAATTAATGATTGGTTGATGTCTCCCCTGATGTATAGAAGAAGCGGTGAATGAGGTCAAGCGTCAGGCCATGGACGAGGTTCAGAAGGCAGTAGCGGAGGCCGAGCAGAAGGCTTTCGAGATGATTGCTTCCGAGAGGGCCAAGATGGAGAAGACTCTGACTGATGCCAAGAAGAAGGCTAAAGAGGATGCCGTCATGGTCATCAATGAACAGGAGGACTCCAGTGAGGTGAGCAGGAAACTAGATTGATGAGATTCTATAAAGTCCTGCGTTGAAAAATAAGTGATTCTACACACAAGCACATCAAATTCACTTTTTCTTAAACATTCAATTTAGATGTACACAGTCATATTTACAGCTGCTATAATCAACATGGATTAAAAAGACTACATCTAACACACAACTAGCATCTTTTAGCTCAGTGTTTGGGTTCACTGTTATTTCTCTCCTCAGTATCGTGATGCGGGTAGTTGTTTTCAGTGGAAAAAAAGATCCAAATCTCCACGGTTTGCTATTTGTACAGCACCAAACATCAACGATGCAAAGACATAGTGGAGCGTTTAGCAGCTAAAGGGCTAGATATTTCCCTCAGGGGCTGGTGGAGAAAAGAAGAGGTTAAAGAAGAGTGAGGACTTGAATTTGCCGGCAACGCGATTATCAGGGGGACAATATGTCAATGTTGAGTTTCTGCTTACTCAAATAGAGACTCAAATCTGCACGAGAGACATTCCTGTGAAGTCTTACAGTCGCCTCGTGTCTCTTTTTTTTTTTTTCCCCCTCAGTGTTGCTGGAACTGTGGCCGCAAAGCCAGCGAGACGTGCAGCGGCTGCAACGCCGCACGCTACTGCGGCTCCTTCTGCCAGCACAAAGACTGGGAGAGGCATCACCTCATCTGCAGCCCAGGACTTCAGGCGCAACCCAAACCCATTTCTGCCATCACTGCAAGCAGGGCAGCTGCTGCGGCCACAGCAGCGGCGGTGGCAGCAGCAGCAGCCGGGGTGTCTCCTGTAGGTCTGGTCGGGGTCAAGACCCTCGACGGCGTCCCTTCAGTGTCCAGTCCTGGTGGAGACAAGGCTTCGATCGCTTCTCGCTCCTCCACCCCTTCCACCCCCGCCTCCGCCACCGAAACCAACGGACACTAGGAGGCGAAGGACATGAGCGGCGAACGTGTCACCTATCCTCTTCCTTACTGGGGAAGAAGTGAGTCAGCAGTAAGAGGGAACTATTTGTGGGTTAAGTTAGGGTAACAGATTTATCATCACACTCTTTGGCAGAAAACAAATAGCAGATTATGGATGACTGTTTGAGTGATATGTCAACTGGGATTTTGGCTTTGGCAAAGAACAGAAGGGAACGTCTCAAATGAACAGATGGAAACGTGTTTGTCTTCATCCAAAACTCCCAAATCTTGGATCTGCAAGGGGCGGGAAAAAAAAACTGCATTTATCTCTGGAAGTTATGAAAGAAGGCATATGAGAAAAGACAGAGGACATTAAAAAAAGAGATATAAAGGGCCCCCCCCCCCCCACACCAATATTCTCACTTGTTTGTGTATAGATTTAAGATAGCGAGGCGGTGGGAAATGGAAACAGTGTAATATTACCAGCCATAAAGCATCTGTCTTCTTCCTGTCTGGAAAATCTGACAGGAGACCACATAAGCTCCTCCTGTATACAGAAATATTTGCTCGCCAACTTGTCAGGTTTTCATGTGTGTGTGTGAATGCGTACGTGTCAAACGGTCGTGCAGTCAGTGAATATTGTACAGCATATGATAACTTTTGTCAAAGCAATATTAAAAGTGAAGTGTTCAGGTATCTCAAGCCGTTTTTCTGCATCACCAAAGTTTTCGGTCGCTAGAGAGAGAGAGTCGTCGTCGCCTGTAAATGTCTTGTGAACGAGAGATAATTATACACTAACACATCATATCTACTTTTATAAAGAGCTTAACTAGGAATGCCGGTGACTGTCTTTTAATTTCTGATCATCAGGCGTCTTCATTTTCATTTTGGCACTTGCTGGCATCACCAGGTGTGTATGGCGGGCTCGGACGTTGCTCCAAAGCTTCCACCATTGCAATGTTTGCATCGGGGGGGGGGTTGTACTACAGCTTTTCAAGTACAGTTTTCCACAAAAGGAAAAGAAAATGGATGACGGTGAAATGTGTTTTACTTAATTTGAGAGAATCCTCACTGGCGCTCACGTCGCCGTGGTGCAGGTTGAGAGCAGCGACTCCGTCCCACGGAGAATCTCAGGAGGCAGCTAAACTGTGTTTGTACAGATCATTCTGTTCTTTTTGTTTTCTTTTGTCGCAGTTAGGTTCAAGTCAAAAGTTGAGTGAGTGACTCTGCTGTTACAACTGAGATATTGTTCTTGTTTAATTTTTCCGTTTGTTGTAAGATTACTTTGTAAAGAATATTATGAGAGAATGCCTTTATTTTGTGAGCCACGATTTTCTTCGTTCTTTAAACACTTTTCTTTTGTTATGAGGCATAACTTCATATGGAAAAAGATATCTTGACATGAAGTATGAAATAAAGAAATAGAATTACCTCAATAGTTTCTTTGTGTTGTCTGTTCTCTGATTGACCTTAATATTAGGAACATATGATGAAATAAAGGTTAACTATATGATCATTAAGCACAGTATTGGGAGACGTGTGAAATAAAACATCTGTCCATGAATAGAGATTATCATCTCTGACATGGAATTAAAATGTCTTATAAACTGTCAGAGTTGACGTACTCATTAAATATTACAAAATATAATCATCTGCTTTATATAGTCCGTATCAGAAACTCAAAAGACTACATATTTAAAAACTACATAGAATTACATTTTCTATTCTGTATTAGTCTTTAATATGAAGAGCATTGTTGCTTTCATTTTGGGCTACTTTCAACAGTGTACTTAATATTTCAGATATTAGGTTTGTGTTTTGTGCAGAGCTGAACAAATGACACTGATGATAAAGTCATTTTCATTACAAACCAGCGTTATATTGAACCCCAACATGTTTCTTCCAAAATAAGTTGATATAAAAGAGCTTCAAAACACTATATATTCCTTATAATACTGTATAACTTTATTGAACATGTTTAAAAAGATCTTAATACCTTAAAAATTATAGACAATTGCTTCCTAAATAAACTTATTTTACTGCACAAAGGTTCTTCTAAAAAAAGCCACAAGTCTTTAATTTTTGCATCCTCTGTCTCCTTAATGTGAAATATTCAGTGACTCCTGATAAAATATGCAAGTGGCATCTTTGAATTCAGGTATGAAGTAATGGGGAGGCTCCTCTAGAGATTGAATTATGCTGAAGTGGTTGTAGATTCTGTCGTGTATAATGTTTTCCACCAAGTCGGTTCATACTGAAGGTCTGTGTTAAAAAAAGAACCACGGTCGCTTCAACAGTGACTTTAGTTATCATTGTGTTTTACATCAAAAGAAGCTAAATAATAATTCAAAAAGAGACCGAAATGCAGTAGAAATATGTAATATTCTATGTTACCACAAGGTGACAGTATAAGATATATTTTAAGAAATTTCTTTGCTTCTAAACATGAGAAGATCCTGTGAAAGGTCTGTGATGAAAAACAGAAGGCGATCACAGTCCGCAATTACTCATCTATGGAATAACAAATCACACAGAATAATCTAAAAATATGACTTTTGTAGTCTGAGGAGACAAACAGCATTTCAAGTAAATGTCCTGCGGTGAAAATATGACTTAAGTTAAAGTTAATTAGTATTACTAACAAAAATAAAAGTACATAAGGCAGAAAAATGCTCCTATACAATTATATAATATATTAATAAATTCTTGCTAAAAAGTACGTTTCCCTCTAAAATGTGTAGTTGGAGTATAAACAGCATAACATTTAAAACTAAAAGCAACTAAAATGTGTACTTAAGTTCAGTATATGAGTAAATGTACATACATTCCACCTCAGGTACAACATAGTTTTTAATTCCAAATAATATATCTTAAAATAAGCAGCTGCTGTTGTTTGTCTTTGTATTGTTTCAGCTTTTTATTTTTAGCACAGATCTACAAAGAACATAAAGTGTATTTCCTGATCATTAGTTGATCTAAAAATGAAATAAGACTCATCTGTTGTCTGGAGAGAATTGTGTGTGTCAGCATGTGGGCCAAAACCAGCATTGTTTAGTAGCAGGATTATGACGTCTGCTTTATGCTGAAAATAACAAATTGAGTTGTTTCCTGCTGTTGCTCGGATGTTAGCCAAGTTAGCTTGTAGGTTCCAATCTGATTATTTAATGGGTCTGTGTATGCTGGGTTTTTTGCACAATATATACACACACATAGTCTTTTATTTGGGGGAAGTAACCTCTCTAAATGTGACAGTTATTTACCTCAATGATACAAGAATGCATTTTAATTCATAAAACCTCTGGAATTGAATAGCTCATTTGTGTTTCACTAAACAGTAGATTTCTGCTCATGTTCAAAAATGTCTGCACATACAAAATATATCCTTGATATCTGTGTTCTGTGAGAACTCGTAGTATTTTGAGAAAAAGTGTCCTTATATAACAAGAATAAAGCCGTAATTTAATGAGAATAAAGTAGGAATATAAAAAAAATAAAATAAAATCCACCTGCTCTATAGTGTGCTGTTCATGAGGAGATACGATGAGAAACATACAGGACACAACAGAAACAAGGTTACAAGTCTACAGACAAGCTAGCAGCGCTTTGAGGCTGTATAAGGAATTGCCGTACTTTGAGCGAAATGCTAACAGTACCATGATAACATGCTACCAATGGCAATGCTGAATTAGCACTCAAGTACAAGGCTGGTGGGAATGTCATTAGTTTTGCTGGTTTGGTCATAAACCAAAGTACTTTACTGTCACAATTGAAAACGTAGATCTCAGGGTGACAGTAGATAAAATGTCAAGGGATCACTATATTTTTCACAATTCAGGGGAACATTGATATCTGTACCAAATTTCATGGCAATAGATGTAGTAAAAATGTCAACCTCATAGTGGAGCTAGAGGAAAACTCATTACCCAAATCAATAGGATTCATCTTCTGGGGAGCATGACTTTTTGAGATTTGGAGTCTGGACTAAAGTGGTGGACTGACCGACCGACCAACCGACTCTAGCATGGCTAAAAAAAAGGTAGAGCGATAAACACCATTACCACAAAAGGATAAAAAAGTAATAAATGGTAAACTTAATACCAGCAATGCACAGGGAGCTAACATTTTGTCTGTCACCTCTGCTCAGCCTGATGCTTAAATTACATAATGGCATTGGAGGTCTGTCACAGTTCATCATCCCAGGGAGGCCAAGAGGACATTGGAGTTGATCTTACTGCCATGCTGGACCTCAAATGACACAAAAAAAAAATCAATTTTGATGATGATAAAACTTTCTGTGCCCATCTATCTTTTTCACATCTTCACATCTCTTTTACAGACATTTTTCATTCCCTTGTCTCTCTCTAACCCTGTCTGCTCCTCTGTAAAATTTGCAAATGTTCTTTGACAGAACGTTACTATGACCACTTGATGTTCTTCAAGGACAGGAGTGACGCAGCAATTGATTTTGAGACTGTGTTTTGTACGTTACTACTGCTGTGCTGGACCTATATGGAAACAAAGACGCTGCATGAAATGTTGTTTTTGTATGTACGGCACAGCTCTAACACTTATATTAAACAATCAATACAGAAACATTTACAAGAACAATTTGTGTGTAAACTATTAGATCTTAAAGGTGCAGTGTGTAGGATTTAGCGGCATCTAGTGGTGAGGTTGCAGACTGCAACCAACTGAAACTTCTCCAGTGTGCCAAGTGTGTAGCAGAATTATGGTGGCTGGAGCGAAATCGCAAAAGGCCCAATCTAGAGCCAATGTTTGGTTCGTCCGCTCTGGGTTACTATAGTATACTATTGCCGTATTTGATGCTTCGGGATGAGAATGTGTTCGAAGATCGTGGTGCAACAAAGCGTACCCTGTGAAGAGGATCTGCTCCATATAGAGGAATAAACGGTTCATTCAATGGTAACAGAAACACGATTCTTATTTTCAGGTGATTATACACTAAAGTAAACATAATTGTTAATATAACATTCCATTTCTGCCAATAGTTCCCCCTAAATGCTGCATACTGAAATGGGATACTAAATTGTTGTTTCTGGCAAACAACAAGTCCGTGTGAGAAGTCTCTAAGTCAAAGCAGATGAGTGAGTTCAACTTTCAGAGGCGAGACACCTTCCGAACATGTTTCCTCCCACGCAGTCAAGTTTCCAGGGTGAAAGAAATGAAGATACTGAGGCATGAAATAGGACAACAGCTGTTGCTTTGTCACCTTTGGGCCCCCAGCCTTTGGATTTCTGTGACGATAAGTTGCACTTGAACACGTCAGACACGCACAAATAATGACTCATCTGGTGCCCTTATTAATTCTGATGAATTTTCTCTTTTTATTTGCATTTTTATTTTGCCGCTTTGACCTCGTATACACTCGTTTAATTGTGTCTGCAACACACTGACAGATCAGATTTAAAAGTATCTTAGTGCTTTTGTGTTGACATTCTTCAAGGATAACTTCAATTACAACTTGTATTCTTCCAACAGAAACAACAAACACAGGCTTTGACTTTAGATGTCTTCTGCGTTGCCTTCTGCACAATAAAGTAACCATAGCCGAGGAAATAAACAATGGGGAGGAATGAAACAGGACAGCAGATGTTGTTTGGTAACCTTAGCTCCGGCCCTTGGCCCTCTGAAGTGATGAGCTGTGCTCGCACACATCAGAGCCAAGGGCACCTACCTGAATATATAAATCTCCTGCTGAAGGAGAGCTGCAGAGTGGTATTCAAATGATTTCACTTTGGCTATTCATCGGTGAACCACATCCCTTTCACCATACAGAACAGCATGTTTCAAGACCAGGAAATGAATCACAGGAAATGAGTACGGAAATGTGCAGGTGGCTATTTTTTATTTCTTTTGAAACCAATGTATTAAAGTATAGCTCACATCAGACGGCTATCCAATTAAAACTCAATAGACTCAAAGGAGCCAGCCGGTGCTTGTGTTGTTTCAGTGTCTTGTTGGAATAACTGCAAAAAGAAAATCTCCTGAGACTCCCGGGTTGTATTTTGAGAGAATAATGCATTCCGCAGTGGTTTCGGTATCCACAGTTATCTCATCCAGCAGCGGCAGCAGGAGAAAAGTAAATCCCTGCTGTACCTCCAAGATATAAAACAGGGAGAACACTGTTTCTTTAGTTGGCTTGGAGAACATCAGTTATAGCAGGGGATGAATTTCTATCATAATAGGCGGCGGTGACTAGGAGCTGGATACATTTTGTTAGAGACTCTGAGATGGAGTTTATTTTTTAGAACCAGACTTCGAATGTCTTTTAATTTATAATCCTTAAGATTTTCATCAAATCGAACCCAATTTGTGAATCGTGTTTTTTCATTGCTGTGGCTGGGTCCGCCATCCCCGTGCCAGATACAAATGACCTACGCACAAGGGATTAAGGGAGCCTCATTGAGTTTTGATCTTTTCATCGAGAAAAGTATTTTCCAAATGTTACATGCGTTGCTTTTGGGAGTTGGAAACAGGAACAAATGACGTACATAATGATCTATAAAATGTACTGTCCAAGTCGAGATATTCATTTTCTTACTTCATCGGTCTGTGACATCTGCCGGAAATACTCCTCTTCAAACAGCGACAGCCTTTATTTCTTTGTTGCCTATAATTCGCTGTAACTTAGAAGTCTCTTCTCCAACGTTGGTAAAAGGTGAAATGGTGACACTTGTCCCTTAGTGATCCGAGGAACAGGTGAGGAACAGGAGGTGTGTGGGTACACATCTTCACAGCTTCACGGCTGCCCTGATCGCCGCTGTTCATTCCGTCTTGCCAGCAGACTGCCAGCCTGACAAGAGGCTGAAGATGAGAGGGCTTCAATTTGCCAGTAATCAAGCAATCAAATATTACAGCCCCAGCAATCAGTGCAATGATGTGCCAGCCTCTGTGACTGTGCACGCACTTGTGGCACAAAGAATCTCAGCATGTTTCTGTACAAGAAGCAAGAAGGGTTCTGCACATTTCATTGCTATTCAGAGCTTGTGAAACATTGATTGCTAAGGCAAAATGAAAAAGATGCACAAGGACTTCTTCTTTTGAGCTTTTGTGTAGCGACACGGGTTGAGACACGGACCCTCCATTAATTCTTCTGCATTCTGCTCATACACTTGAATAATCTTAGTCAGGAAAGTGTCTGGTGTGATCCACAGAAATTGTCATTATTTCAAGGCAATATGGGGAATTTATAGCTCACAGGAAACTGATTTTTATTTCTATGATCCCTAAATATGAACCAGACTTCAGGCAAATTAGTTTTTGTCAGATTGCTTATTGGATTATTCGCTTTCTACGCCTTACTCCAATTAAGTTCAGATTTATCTGGTATCAACTAGGATACGATGCTGATTCCACTCAAAGCACCATCGGTTCATATTTCTGGTGTTGGCATTGAATTAAATGACCAAATGGAATGTGAGAACAGTTGCTGGTGACACACGCATGGGGTATTTTATCCTCTTTAGATTTTTTAAATCTTTATTTCATGGTTGAGTCTGAGAACAAAAACACTCTAATAAACCGTAGTTGTAAATTACCTCCTGACACCTAATGGCAGAGAGACAAGTTAACAACTTCCTGGTTATGAAAACCAAATAATCTGTGGATCCTGACATATTTATTGGTTGAAACCAGTGCAAAAGCAAAATGTGAGCCCTGCGTTGTTACTTAGTGTCTGCTCAATATCGACGTTTACTAAATGTCAGCCATAACGACTTCGTAAATTGATAATCTGCTACTGAGTGCTGTGCATCTGTCAGCCTTTGTTGTAATTGTTGGTAATTACTCTACTCCTCGGTGGCTCAAAACTTGATTAATGCAGCTTTAAATTGTTCTGTGAGAAGGGAATCTTGGAATCAATGGAAACGGAAACAATTGAGATTTGAGTTCAAATTAATTAAAAGTTGCATTATTAGAGGAAACATTTCTGTAGAGAACTGAAGATTCAGAGGCATTTTCACTTGTCAAAACAATGAATAGCTTTAATCTTAATCATGTTGAAGTCGAGTTTCAGTTTGTTTACATTTTGTGGTGTAGATTACAGAACCAAAACACAACATGAATATATCTGAGTTACATATGTACAGATGGAATAAACGCAAAATAAATACATCACACATTAAATATATTTTCTCTTCATAACTTAGTGATACAATGAAATCTTCTCACAAAGTGTTACTTCTGTTAGATAATCACACTTTTGGAGATACTTTTGAAACAAAAGAGGAGATGTAACTAACATAAATAAGTAGTGTATCAATAGATAGCTGCCAGGGCAGGGTTAGCTTTTTAGCATTCTGTGCACACAACAGTAGAATAGCTGAAAAAAAAACAGTTCTACAATATCATACAGCATATACAGCCAGGATTTAAAGGAACTATATGACTGAAAGCCCTTGGCCACAGTAGTCAGCATGCACGTTGAGGCTGAAGAAACCTTTCATCTCCGATTTCATTGTATTCAACTCTAAACAACTCATCAAAAGCACAATAACTATACTGGCATGGGGAGATTCATTCAATTGGATTTGTTCCAGTAGCCTATTCTAGCGTCTTTTTTGGTTGTTCTCCACTGGCATAATATCAGACAAACACCGCAAGAGAGAGGAGGCCAAGTGAGAGACAGGGTTATGAGAAAAGAAAAGGCTTTTGCATTGCAGAGAATCAAACACGTTCAAGTCATTAGAATGGCTATAGGGATGCAACTATCCCTTTTGATATAAGCGGCACGATAATGAGCAGTCGAAGACAGACGAACGTTTCAAAATGCTGCTGGAGAGCGCTGGATGACGCCGTTGTCTCCGTCTCCTGTTGCTTTTTAAACACATGGATGCCTTCTGAATTCTCGTGTGTGTACGTGTGTGTTTATGTGTGTGGGTGATGGGCGAGAGTGTCTTTGTCCGTGTGATAGTGTAGGCATTAGATGTGACATTCTGGATTCAGTTGCTAGTTGTTAGTCATAATCCACCAGGAAGCTGAGGGAACACACACAGAGTTGGGTCACCACACACCAATATAACTCAGGGAGGGACACGTCAGGGTACATTTAGAAACCATCGTTGATCTAGTTTACGCTTGAGTAAGCTCTCATTTTTCACATATTTTCAGCTGACCACTCCCATCAGCAAAATAACAATTGCGTAAATGATTTACATAATTTGGAGATGGCGCCAATTAAAACAATTACTTGCTGGGAATTCTCAGCTTTATAGATAGAGGACAGGGTCATTGTGTGCATATTTGTTCTGCTGTTTTCAAACTGTTTACACCTTATTAAATGTGATGTCCAGCAAACAAAGGCCGGATACAAAGCAAATGATTTTACACTATGTTTAACGTGGCGTGTTTTTCAGATGCTCGTATTCAAAGAAAGTAACCGTGTGCAAAACTCCTCCTGGAAAAAAGATGAGAAAGGAGTGTGACTGTTGCTGACACAGACAATAATAGCCTCTGCTAGGAGCAGCCGAGTGTCGTGTTTTATTTATTTTTTCTATTATTGATTCCAGAGTCGACTCCTTCCTGCGCTTCTGACGTGCGCCTCGTAAACTGCTTTCCCTCTTTCTGCCAATCAGCGCATTGTGTACTCACTTGTATCCCCAGCAGCCAAACTCACAGTAACCTACTAATGATATCCGTCTTTGAGAAAAAACAGGCAAAGTCACTCAAAGCAAACACATATGGTGTTCTATAAGAACCAGCTTCACAGCTATTTTATTGGAAATGCTGCACAGCATGCAAACCCTCTCCACAGTAAAGTGCAATTTAATAAAATGTATAATATTTTATAACGTATTGACTTTTCCCCCAGAGAATTAAGAAGACAAACCCTCAATTAATACTACGAAACAAGTAAATATGATTATTTTTGTGTCACATTTTCAAGTTTATCTTTGTGTTCATGATTTCATTTCAGTCTAATTTAATCAAATATTGACAATATATATTTAAAACTGTAATTAGTTTGCATTCTGGAAATCTATTTCAGGTTTATTTTGGATTTATCACACACACACACACACACACACACACACACACACACACACACACACACACACACACACACACCATTTGTGTAGTTCTCTTAAATAAAGTGCTGAACTTCTGAGTCCCTGTTCGGGTTGTTTTTCCTCTGTTTTAAAAGTTACTCCTGTCTAATTCCTGTGTTTACGCCACAACTGTTTATTTATGTCTGACACAGTCAGCATGCATATGTGCGAGTCACAGATGTGGAAGTAAACAACCACATACAGTAACCTAGCAACGAGCACAGCCCGTGCAGCCCACACAGCTAAATAACCCTCTGCAATGGAAGCAAAGAGGCAGAAATAATAATGAATCCTATTTCTTTGTGAAGCGTATTTTGAGGCCCGCAACAAATGACTCAAACGTCAAGAGGAGAGTCGTGATTGCGACCTGGACTGGGGTAGCAGTGACTAGTGCTACTCTGCCACCTGTTGAGCCTGCTGAGGAGTTGACGACGTTGTGACGAGAAAATAAGAAATGTGCGTCGGATGGAAATGCCAAGTATAAGTCTGCCTTCTGGAAAACATTTTCCACATGCAAATGTGTCCCGAAAGAACGCAATCAAATATTTGTTATTCTGTGTTTTTGTGCCCTGTTTACACCTTTACAACACACACATATGGGATCTCTGCCATGTGAGCAAAACATAAGAACCGGCTCACTTTATACAGGCAGCGCGAACATAGCCCAGGGTGTTTGGAGAGAATATCCCCACTTGGATATTTTATTTATTCAGAAACATTCAATATTTTCACAGTAAATCCCCGATTTGAAAACATTTATACCTTAAACAAAATTCTTAAAGTGATTTATTGTCAGGAGGCCCAGAAGCTCTGGACGCACCCCCGGTTTCCACAGATGGGAGATTTTAGTACATCATATCATAACACATCCAGGCCTAATGTACTAATGCAACAGCTGAATGTGACACACGGAGCGATTACCACATTCACTAATCTTGGCCAATATGAAAAAGGTTGTGAGGCAAAACACGATCTACACCTGTGTCCCAATTCCATATTACATACTGTGGACGTTGTGACTAAGCAGTGTGTTCCCACTTGAAAAGTGACACAAACCCACTCATTAAAGTTTTGAATTTAGTATGCATAAAAAAACGCTTCAATTTCGACCGTCGATATACGCAATTGTCCAAAGTTTGTACGATATCTAACGAAAAGTAAGAGCATTGAGGCACAAGCCACTGGGTGTTCAACCAATCAGCGATTTTTTGCAGCATGGCCTAAGACGACCAAAGATAGACTGAGAGCAAGTTACTTGGCAAGTTCAAGTTAAAGTAAATGTCACATCTACTCTATGCCACAACCAGATCTCACTGTTTTCGCAAATTACTTGACCAATTCTGGAGGTTTGTCCAAATCCTACATGTGTTGATCTCACTCTAAGCAGGGTTTGCAGAACTGGTTTTAATGTTCATTTAATAACATTAAAACTATTAAATGTTCATTAATACTATATATATATATATATATATATATATATGCATACCTGGCAGCAACATGGTAGAAACTAGTTCCGCATCCTCCAACATGTCAATGGCGCAGCGCTGGAAATCTTTACTGCTGTTGGACTGCAGGTAGCTATAGAGAAGACAACGAAGGAGCAAAATAGTAAAAAGAGAAAAGGAGACTGCTTTTAGTTGAGCATCTATTTTACTCTAAATGGAACCATAATTTACCAAATGAACATCATGCTGTTTTGAAGACGACTTGAAACTAGTGATTGAGACCATGAACTCATGTTAAGGTGTTAAATCAAGTGAAAAGTACGGTCATTTTCTCATAGACTTCTATACAATCAGGCTTGAAACTGCAACCAGAGAAGCAAGTTTAAAGCACTTCCACATTGGCTTCACTTTTCAGACCGGGAGGTCGCCCTCTGGTTGCAATCTACAACCACAACACTAGACCACTAAATCCTACACACTGGACCTTTAATTATTTCATCAAAATTGTAAATGTTCATAACTTGTAATTGTAAACCTTAATTGTTTTTTTAAAATAAATTCTGTGCAGATTCATTTATCCACAGATATGTGTATAGATGCTATTTAAAACCATTTAAGATGCATCCATGTGTGTGTGTGTGTGTGTGTGTGTGTGTGTGTAAGAACTGAGAGATGGGCCATCTGCTCATCTTCCCTGGTGGAGAACATTTCCATCAAAAAGTTAAGATTGCCAAACTGTCTGCCAATATCTGACACACAACAACAAGCACAAACAGACGGACACACACACACACACACACACACACACACACACACACACACACACACACACTACTGACCTCATCCAGGAGATGCGGTCTTGCCAGAACTCATACATTATGTAACACAACTTTCCCGGGAGCTTCTGAACGGACACACTGAAAGCAGGATGGAGAAGAAGAAGAAGAAGAGGATATAGTACTTGTACAGGTTCTTGTATTTCCCTTGTTATGCAACTTTATACTTCTCCACTTCATCTCAGAGGCAAATATTGTACTTTTTACTCCACCACAATTGTCTGACACCTTTCGTTACTTTTCAGAATACATTTTTTCACCCCCTTCCTGTCAAGTAAAAACCATGTCTGCAAGGATGTAGTGCTCCTTTATACATTGAGAAAATTCTCCTGAGTTAAATAAACTATTTTAAAACCATCTTGGATCAGCTGGATGCATCGTCACAAAGCTGAAGGCTGTTTTTTGAGCTCATGAAAAGTTGACTTTTAAGCGATACGTTGTTTCTCGCAGGACAGGGACGTTACAAACATGATGGTGATCTTATGGAATGTGATGCATTGCTGTTGCTTAAACCACACAACTGCATGAAGTAGTTAAGATTAGAACGACCTTAAACATCTACATCAGTAAAATACAACACAGCAGCTGTATTGATCCAAAAACATGATACTAATCAAGTACATTTTGCTGACAATACTTAAGTAAGCTGTAAAATGAGAAAGTTTGTCCTGGTCGCCAACAGCTAAACCAAAACCGAGAAAAACCCACTGACCGGAGAAAACATTCTCATTCCATAGCTAAACAGAACATTAAAATATCTTTCTGAAAACCTTTGAGGCGAAAATGAGGCAATACAGTCACAGGATATTGATTAATTAATCTGCTCAGAGCTTCACAAGCTGTGATTGACAGCTGCGTTAGAGACTCCTCGGCTCTGATTGGTTGTTTCTCTTCGAGTGCGGTGGAATCTTGCAGATGCCATTGGGAGCACTAAAAGGAGGCAGAGGAACTGGATTTGTTCACAGATTATCTGTCTCATGTACTACTGTCATGATATAGGGACAGTTTGAGTAAATATGATAAAAAGTTATTTTCATTATAGATACCAATTGTAGCTTTAATTAAGGAAAGAATCTGAGTACTTCTTCCACCACTGGTTACAACTAGGCTAAGCTAGAGCAAAGCTTGTTGCAAGATAACAAACAGCATTAAAAGATTAGCCTCCATATTTGTGAAAATGTAAGATTTAAGATTTCATTTTCAATCAAGCTGCTCACAGTTTGGGGTCACATAAGAGCTGCTATAATATATATATAAGCTATAAGGATGATGGATGATAATATGCTGTTGGGAACTTTTCATTAACAGTACAGTTTCCATCCTTTCCACTGAGTTTACATATTAGTTTTTGGCACAGTCGACACTTCAAAACCCTGATTCAACATGGCCTCAATTTTCCTCAGCAGCAGAGCCTGACACAGATATATTACTTTGTCGGAAAAACATCAAAACACTCACTGCAGGTTGTCAGAGTGGGCTGCGGTGGCATCGATGTAGCTCTTCAGAACTTTCCGGAAGTTGTCCAGATCTTCATCGGTCACCGACATCTGCCTCTGAACCAACAGGATGTTCTGTTAGCAAGACAAGAGACAGAGAGGGGGATATGAAGAGATGACCCATTGGCTGCTCAGAAGAAGAACATGCTGCTCTATGTGTGCGTGTGTGTGTGTGTGTGTGTGTGTGTGTGTGTGTGTGTGCGTGTGTGCGTGCGTGTGTGTGTTTTCCGTCGAAATTAAATGTGATCTGACAGTCAGTGTTGCAAATAGTTTTCTTTCCTACAGTTGTTCCTTGAAGTTCGCTGGTGAAGTGGTGACAGCACACTCAACGTATCAACTAACGCAAACACCTGCCGTCCACCAATCCAGACGGAGGAAAAGAAAAGACACTTTGAAATATGTTACTTTATCGATTGATGTACCCAGCTAACGAGCAACATCCTCACAGCGGGCCAGGATTCCGCGTCGTCCTCTGGGAAATTGGGCTTGAACTAAAGTCCCCGATGCACAACGTCAGCCTGCTGCCCTCTTTTACTTTCTCAACAATTCAATGCAGGAGTGAGTCACCACTGAAACCAGTATAAAGGGAAACGTGTAAGCTGTGTTTCCACAAAGGTCTTCATCACAAAAATATATTTTTGGCTGTATCTGCTAAGTTTAGTGTTGAGGTACCAATCGTTGAAATCTCTTCAGGATGTTGTCACCACTCCAATACAACGGAGGAGGGTGGAATTTCATTAGTGACGCTAATGGCATTTAAAATGACATTAATGAACGGCATTACCCACAGACCTATCTTTAAAGAAAATAGTACCCACAAAAAGTGCAGTTTGCCAGTGGTCAGAGGAGCAAATAAAATTACATTCGGCTCAATTGTATTGAAGTGGCAGAAACTACAAGTACATCCTTCAAAACCTCAGCACATTAAAAAAACCGACTCCGCTAAAGGTGAGTGACAACATATGTGGTTTTGTAATCTAAGTAAAAAATCTACCATTGGATCTTATGGATTTTACTGTGCATGGGAATACACAGTGAAAAGGACAGGGGTTCATGGATGGATCCTGTGTGTATTTTGTCACAAGCCCTTATTCAAATATTTGCTTTTTTCTGGGTTTCATTTTGGAAGGCTTATTCTAAAATCCTATAAGAAACAGAGAAGCACAAACATTGCTCTTTCCATCATTTTCCTTTTGTCGAGTACTGAGACTTGTGAAAACAGACTTCACTTTGCTATGGCTGTTATAAATACTTTGACATAAGTGTCACCATAGTTCCCCCTAACAATACAGGTTACTGGCACTCTCACCTGTCTAACTTCTTTTGTCCGTGTGTGAACATGTCAAAGACACTCAGACACAAATTCAGAACAATAATCATTTACCCTCTCTTTGTCTCAAGGTGAGCTTTGTCAAAAAGTGGCCCTTGCTTGCTTCATGTGGAACACCATTTCATCTTGAGGCTCATCATATATTGATTTTCATAGCTGGAATGAGCTAGAATGTGTGCAAATGTGACAGCTATCTGCTGTTATGGTGTCATTTGGTTTGAGAAGGAAACAGGTGTGCTGCTTGACATTTAGAATGGGGACAGTGAACAAACTCAATGAGCAAAATCCAGTTTCTAGAGAGAATAATTTCTGAGTGCGGCTGAAAAGGAGTTTTAAACGATATACTTCGAGCTATTTGGAATATACTGTAACTACTGGAGGTGTACACAGTCAGAAAGAGCAAAATGTGGAGCAACAGAGGGTGTTAAAATATGTAGTTTAAGGGGAATTATGCAATGAAAAATAATTAATGAAAAAAAAAAAACAGTTTCAGTGTATTCTACTTATTTTGCACAGTGATTCACAATCATTGTAATCAAGCCACTGTTTATTCTGCTAAAGAGAGCATCGTTCTATATCATAACACAGAGAAATACGTGTCACATTCAAACATTACAATGCAAAGGCCTCACTGTGTTTGATTGCTCTAAAATGCTGTCGGTAAAATATAGTTTGGATAATATTTTTTTTTTCTTCAGTGAGTGTGTGTGTGTGTGGCTGTATAACCCTAATTATCCTGGAAAATGTCAAAATAAGAATAAATTCTGTGTAATTAGCAACCTTTTCACACCTCGCTTTAATAATACCCTGCATGTGGCAGCCTATGGTCTAATCCTCGCACTTAAGCAATCATTTACTTTTTACAAATTCTACAAAGCTTCATGCTCAATAAATACTACCTGCCATAAAATAAAATGTTTAGTCCTTGCTTTTTTACTTCAGCCAGTAATCCAGGTAAAATTCTTTTATCAGTGCTGACTTACAGACTTGTACGTGCTGGCCAGTGTGTCCTCTTTCAGTGGCTCCAACCTGGGACCCTGAAACAAGAAGGTTACAAATATGAGAAGAACTTCTCGTCTCTGTTAAACATCTGGTGACGCAAGAGGTATGGGCATCGTTTTCTTTCTATATCACAGTTCACATTTTCGGATTGAATCAGTATTCTTTTGAAAGTCATGACAAAAGCAATTTGGTAAACACCAGAATTTTCCTTTATACATATTTCACTTAACTTGCATTGGACATGATTTGGCATTTGTGTGTGTGTGTGTGTTTTACACAGAGAACATAACCTTTGAGGCTGAAAACTTATTCTGAAGCATTTGAGAGAGCAGAGGAAGGGAGAAAAGTGGACAGAAGGTGTGTGTGATGCTGCTGGCGTTGAAGTGTGGGGATGGATATTGCACTCAGAACATGCTGCAGGTTATGAATTGCTTTCGATATTGCACTCCGAGTCCCTCTGGGTCGGTGGAACGGAGGGCTAGAGAGAGAAAATTGCTTTGAGAGCGACTGAAAGGAGAGGAAGAGTGAACATCAAAAGATGGGAATAACTAGGAGTTAATAAAGAAAACAACTGGCAGAGAGAGAACGAGATGGAGCAGAAGATGTGGCAGGAGTGTGAAGAGGTTTTGAGACATAGTAGCAAGAATGGATGGGTCACAGGATACAGAATGAGAAATGAGAGGTAGAGAGGTGACTGTGCTTGACAGATACGCAGATGTGCTGAACTCTTTGAAAAAGCGCCGTTTTTACATGCTTCCACTGCACCCTTCGCTCTTTTTGATCATCACAAACATACAAAGACATGCTCTGAATTACGCTGCCAGTGTGAAGTTGAATAAAAATGAACATTATTTGACATAATAGACAGTAAAGACCTAAACAACTGAAAACACAGTAGGTCTGTTAAAGCAGGCTTGTCGTTTTCCACATCACGGCTGAAACCATTCAAGCACTAAGCTGACACCTTGTCCCGGACAACAGAACACGAAGCATTCAAGTGAAATCCACGTGTAATCTTGTAGTTTTGCAGGCAGGTTTACAGGTAGCGATGTGCACAACCTGCAGCGCTGTGTGTGTAGCCCAACGTACTTCTCATTGTTCCAAACATATTAATAAGTCTGTATCCCAAAATGGTTGAAATGCATTTGGCGTTACTTTTTATATTCTCTCCATAATTTGTCACACGTGTTTCTGTTATTTCCTATTAAATTGATTCCATGACCTGTTCAGCAAACTTAATAATGTTAATGTTGATGGCTGCTACACACTGTATTTGTATTCATGGAACATTTATGCCTTAAAGCTTTGTGCTCATATTTGCCAAACCTTTCAGATTAAATCTGTCTTCTGCTTTAAATAGAAAGCTTCCTCACTGGAGACATTACAAACTGGCAGGGGATATGCACGGCCCAGGACAGGAGGGCTCTATAGCGGGTGATGAAAACTGCCCAGAACATCATTGGTACCCATCTACTGAGCATCAGTGATATTGGTGACAAGAGGTGCCTGCAAAGAGCCCAAAGGACATAAAAAGACAATACCCACCTTGGCCAAAGCCGGTTCACCCTGCTGCCATACCTGCAACATTTCTGAGCAGCTTCTTTCCTCAGGCTGCGAGACTCCTAAATGTATTCTCCACCATCCACCATATGATGTAGGTTTTTTTTTGTGTGGTTTTCTTATGTAGAGACTACAAACTAAATGTCGTTGTGCAACCGTGTTGTACAATGACAATAAATGAACCTTTTGACCTTATATATACAGAAGGAACTGCTTCATACCTGGCACTCCAGTTTATCCAGCAGCTGCTGCAGCCTGTTGATTTGAGAGCACCAGTTCTCTCCATCTTCCACGCACACACCTGCAGACACCACAACATGTAATCATCAGAATGTCCAACAACAATTAAAACTGTCTCAGTTCCATTCTGCATACTACAACTGACTGGATTTGAGTAGTAGTACATAAAACAGTAGGCTTTTTACTATTGATATATACTTTGGACTAAGAAGACAGCGCTGAGAGTTTCCTTTCTGTGTTTATTATTTGATTAATGTCAAAAGACCCCATTCAGTCTTGTCAAAACAGATGGCTTCCATCAAGGACAAAACATGCGTGTGAAAATGCCTTCTTGTACAAATAAATTCCCATTTAGAAATAAAATCGTTTGAAGGATTCAGGGGAAACAATTATTGTGAAAGAAACTAAAATCATTGACCTATATGACAATTGCACATATAAAACATGTACAATTGCTGACTTGTTATCATGTATAGAAAAATACATCCAACTCCTGATACAGTTTAGTGAAAATTACTTTTAAAGTGTTTTTACGGTGAGGGCTTACTCCTTTTCCTTGTGGGCTCAATATCTGATGTTCAGTCCCTCAATACTAGTGAAGAAGAAAATAAATGAGGCTCAACATGAAATATTTGTCTCTAGAAAATGTCAATATGATCTTAGTAAGGGAAAAGAGCCCTCAGAGAGAGCTTACAGACGCGTCTAATTATGCCCAATACTTGTTATGACAGTGATGTATATGAATAAGTACATTTCATTGTTGATGTGCTTTGGTGAGAAGGTCATTATGGTGTTTGAAATGTCGATTTATAGAATGGTGTCATTTGTCCAAGCAGGCAGAAATTGACACAATAAAGTTACAGCGAAACCCCGTCACACGGTGGAAATCACGCCCACCAGAGGGAAAAACAATCGCCTCCACAATATGCAACCAAGGACTGAAAAGTCTGAAGTATCTAACTAAAAATATCAGATTTCTACATGTCAAAGGATTATTTTAGCACCCTATGTCTACCAGGGGTGCAGTTGATAACTAAAAGCATGATGGGATGGGAAAAGTGAGCCGTTAGCGAGCTAATGTTACTTATGAATCAGAATCAGAATCGGCTTTATTGGCCATGTATGCGTGTGCATACATGGAATTTGACTCCGGTTACACATTACTCTCATCGTACATACACACATATGAAATATATACAATAAACAAGAGAAATATAAGAAAAACAAGGACATTTAACAGCTATATACAATATAAGTATAAATATATCCCAAACAAAAGTGTGCATGTATATATATATAAAATACAATAGTGTAAACAGAGGTAGTGCAATATGACTTATTTAATTGTTCATGACAGAGACGGCCAGTGGAAAGAAGCTGTTCCTGTGTCTGGTGGTTTTGGCGTACAGAGCCCTGTAGCGCCTACCAGAGGGGAGGAGTTGGAAAAGCTTGTGTCCAGGGTGTGAGGGGTCTGCAGTGATCTTTCCTGCCCGTTTCCTGACTCTGGAGGTGAACAAGTCCAGGATGGAGGGCAGGCTGGAACCAGTGAGCCTCTCCGCAGACCTGACAATCCGTTGTAGTCTTTTTCTGTCCTGTTTGGTGGCCGATCCAAACCACACAGTGATAGAGGAGCAGAGAACAGACTGGATGATGGCTGAGACAGACAGGATCAGCAGCTCCTGAGGCAGGTTGAACTTCCTGAGCTGGCGCAGGAAGTACAACCTCTGCTGTGCCTTTTTCCAGATGGTGTCGATGTTGGGAGCCCACTTCAGGTCCCGGGAGATTGTGGATCCCAGAAACCTGAAGGTCTCCACAGCAGACACAGTGTTGTTGTGTATGGTGAGGGGGGGCAGTGTTGGGGGGCTCCTCCTGAAGTCCACTGTCATCTCCACAGTTTTGAGCTTGTTTAGCTCCAGGTTGTTCAGACCACACCAGAGGACCAGCTGTTCAACCTCCCGCCTGTACGCAGACTCATCACCGTCCCCGATGAGGCCGATGATCGTTGTGTCGTCTGCGAACTTCAGGAGCTTGACCGTTGGGTCCTCTGAGGTGCAGTCGTTGGTGTAGAGGGAGAAGAGCAGTGGGGAGAGCACACATCCCTGGGGGGCGCCAGTGCTGATAGTCCGGGTACTGGATGTGATTTTTCCCAGCCTCACCTGCTGCGTCCTGTCAGTCAGGAAGTTTGTGATCCACTGACAGGTGGAGGCTGGCACAGTGAGCTGGGAGAGTTTGGGTTGGAGTATTGCTGGGATGATGTTGAACGCGGAGCTGAAGTCCACAAACAGAACCCTTGCATATGACCCTGGGGAGTCGAGGTGTTGCAGCATGTAATGCAGTCCCATGTTGACTGCATCATCCACCGACCTGTTTGCATGGTAGGCAAACTGCAGGGGGTCCAGCAGGGGTCCTGTGATGTTCTTCAGATGGGTCAACACCAGTCTTTCAAAGGATTTCATGACCACAGACGTCAGGGCGACGGGCCTGTAGTCATTTAATCCTGTGATGGAGGATTTCTTGGGGACCGGGATGATCATGGAGCGTTTGAAGCATGAGGGGACTTCACATAGCTCCAGTGATCGGTTGAAGATCTGTGTGAAGATGGGGGCCAGCTGGTCAGCACAGACTTTCAGGCAGGAGTGTGACACACTGTCTGGGCCTGGTGCCTTCCTGATCTTCTGTCTGTGATAGAGCCGACTCACATCTTCTTCGCAGATCCTCAGTGCCGGTGGGGGGTCGGTTGGGAGAGATGAGGAGGAGGCAGGGGGTGTAGATGGTTGTTTGATGGGGCAGGTGGGAGGTGTGAGGGTAGGCTTATCAAACCTGCAGTAGAAGGCATTCAGGTTGTCAGCCAGTTGGTGATTGGCCTCAGTGGGGGGGATGGTCTCCTGTAGTTCGTGAGTACTTGCAGGCCTCTCCAAACTGACGAGGGGTCGTTGGCTGAGAACTTTTCCTCCAGCTTTTCAGTGTAGCTCCTCTTAGCTACCCTGATCTCCCTCGTCAGTTTGTTTCTGGCCTGGTTGTACAGGATCCTGTCCCCACTTCTGTAGGCCTCCTCCTTGGCACGACGAAGCTGCCTGAGTCTTGCAGTAAACCATGGTTTATTGTTGTTGAATGTGCAAAGTTTATGTGTCAGTTTACGAGTATAAATGTTTACGGTAAATCATACGGAACTACATTTTATATTTTAGTTGTTTATCATGTGTCTCATGATAAACACGAAACGGCATTGCAAATGTTTGGTGAGTGCAGCTGGTTAAGTCAGCATCGATGTGGACTCACTGTTGGCGGGTTATAACCCAGCAAGGGCATTGTCTCTCCCGGAATGATTGAGACTACGAACATGGGTTCTCGTCTGCACAAGAGAGACGCTCACAAGGTAAGAAAATGGTGACCGGTCGGTGGGTTATTTATTTTTTGACAGCAAGGTTTCTTTTGTTTGCCTTTACAGATTTGGTGTTCACAAAGTTGCATTATCATGCGATGAAATAGGGTGCGTCCCCTGGACACGTCTATGGTGAGTTCACTGCCTCCTTTGGGATTTTAATACAACGCTGCACATGTACCTATAGCAACATCACTGATACTCCTCACTCGTTTTTAAAAAGTACGTCTTTGGTAGGAACCTGGGGTTGAGAGACTCAAACAGATTAGGGAAATGAGTGAGTATTGACAATGCATCAATTAATCTGCCAAGTGTAGCAATATGTAAGGGGCTAAGTTAGCTTTTGGTTTTATGGGATTTGTTAAGGATAGTTAAAATGATGAAAAATGTTTTAATATAATATGATGGTACCTGTGGTCAGGATGCTAGAGCGAGGATCTGATGGGGACATGCACAGGTTATTATGGATCCTGCGACCACACCGCCTGCCATTCTTCTGTACTGCTGTCAGCTCCGGTGCCTTTACCTCTCTTCTGCAATGACAGCGGCGGAAACCCAGGGAGACAAACATCAGAGAGAAAGACAGCAGCTGTCAGAGGGCTGTGTGGTAAAAAATAAAATAAAACAGAAATTGAAGATAGGGCGGACAGAGGTAGCCACACAAGGGACTAAAGAAGAGGAAACTAAGTAGGAAAGAGAGGAGATAGGGAGAGAGGGTGCAAGAGAAAAGCAGAGAGAGGTAAGGAAGGACGTATTAATAATTGATTCAAATCAGATACGGAGATAGGTTAATGTCAGAGAGAGAGCGCAGTCAATGGTGCAGAGACACAAGAACCAGAGACGAAGTGTCCAGAATAGAGGTGAAAACATTTAGAGGCCAGATACACACCACTGCTTATTAACCCACAGGCTAGGTGTTAAGGAGGATGAGCCCTTGCACTTACCCACTCGAATATCCAAACACATACACAGTCTTGTTTTCATTCATTTTGGGGGCATTACATTGATTTACATGTATTTCCTGGAGATTTATAGCTTTAACCACTACCTAGCCTAATCCTAATCCTTACCCTAACCTTAAACCAAGTCTTCTCCCTAAAATATTATGATTAATGTTATGGGTACATGCAATTGTCTCCATTTTGTCCAAAAAAAAGCGAGTCCCCACAATGTGACTATGTAATCAGATTAATGTCAATGTCCCCACAAGACAGGTAAAACCATCCCACACACACACACACACACACACACACACACACACACACACACACACACACCTTTGTCATACATGGAAGGTGTTTGCGGCCTGTAAATGCAGTGTCAAGGGCAGTTATGAGTGTGACCCTTGAGACACACTCACACCGTGTGTGTGTGTGTGTGTGTATTTCACTCGTGTGTGTGTCTCAATGTCTCGAAATGCCCTCACACATTTGTTTTTTCATGTTAGTGTGTGCCTCTCTCTGTCTGTGTGTATGTGCATGCGCAGCGTCATGCTGACGGCGCAGAGGGAGCGCATTGCCAGGAGGTTTTCATGCTGAGAACAGCCTGGAGCCCAAAGGCCACTGCAACAGCCCTATACATCCACTGCAGGGAAGCAGAGGGGAGAGAAATAAGCCGTTTGTTGCCAACTGAATATGTCTCTAATTCAGCCCCTGCCGGCCTGCCACACTCCCCCTTTCTCTTTTCAATATCCATACCTGTTTATACACACACTCTCTCTCTCTCTCTCTCTCTCTCTCTCTCTCTCTCTCTCTCTCTC